AATTGTGTTATAAAAATGAATAATTGATATGATTGATCCAATCCAATTGAGGGAATTCCGACGCTTCACCGCTTCGAATTATTGATTTTAATTTCACGTTTCAACATTGAATTTTATTACACATTTGAGAGAACAATTCAGCATTTTTGATCATTTAAATATTATTTCTTCTCCCTATGGATACGACACCCCAAAACTGTGTTACAACTACTGCGTTATTCTTTGGGCGTAATCACGTACTTTCAAAGTCGTCCCATTAGCCACTAAACTTTACTCTATTAGTGTCTATCGCTCACCAGGTGGATGGCATTTTAAAACACGCTGACGTGAAAGACGGAAAAATGAGGTGGCCAGTTAACTAGTTAACTTATTCCAAGTGGCAAGTGGAGTGCTAACTCAGCTCCACTTCAGCAAAATCAAAATGCGCCTTACCAAACCAGGCTTTACCAATTTTATGAAAATCAAACTCCAATTCTGCAAAGCGTGAAGTCCATTTTTCCTCTCAAATCAATTCATCTCTCACGCTTAAAGTGTCTGAACCCTAATCCCCGAAATCGATCATCAGTTAACCGCCTTGCTCTCCGCCATTGTTGACGATTCTTGAAGGCGTGCATATGGTCGAACCAGCTGAAGGTAATCCTGAAATAAATCACCTGATTAACTAGTCAGTCTACGATTTTAGTCCAATCCCCTACAACTGTGCTTGAGTTGAAATCGAGTGAATGAGCATTATAATTGATCAGTTCTTGTTAGGTTGTAGACCCAGAATCTATATTGGCTTATTTTATATAAAAAAATTTTCCTGAAAATGTAGCCCAGTCCCGACGTTATTCGTGATTTCTTGTCTAATTGAGCTGATGCTGAAAATCAAGCACCTTAGATTGTTGGAATTGTTTTAAATATTTAGGGAATGAAAATAATTTTTTGCAAATTCTGAGAACTTTGGTTATTTGTAATAGATGTAAGAGTTGGATTAAATCATGCTTTTAGTTCAGCTATAATGAGTTGTAATGGTCTTTAAATTTCCAGAATTTTTCTTTTGATTCGGACATGAAGAATCTACAGTTTGAGGTTGGGGAGTTTGCGAACTGGGATGTAAATGGAGAATTTGGGCTTCCAAAGTGGATGCATCCAAGAGGTTGCAAGTGAAGTCGTACGCTTCGAAGCATACTTGCAGTTTGGATCACCATGCTGGACCGTGACTCGCGGTCAGGATGTATGCAAACTAGACCAGCATCAACTATTTGCAGTCAGTCGATCGAACATCATGTTCCAACTGGGAATGTGAACTTCGACGAAATCGTGGACGAATTGCATGACATGACAGATGCGGAATCTGCCAATTTGAGATCGACAAGGGCATGACCGCAACGACGAGTGAAATCTGCGGAATTGAGAGGTGCACAACCACAATAAATTATGTGATATCAGTTAGGTGTTTTTGTTTTTTGGTAATGTTGGAAATTATGTGGGCTCAGATTCTTATCGTCTTCTTTTTGTCCAAATAAAATCAAACATTTGGTCCTTGGTGTTTTGCTTTTGTATGTATCCGGTAATTGCTTTTGTATGTATGTGGATGGATGTTGAATAGACTCAATGAATGGATACTAGAATTTGGCAATTTTGCAGCTCTCTTTCATTGCTGTAGTTCATTTGCAATGCAACATAGTTCACTTTGCAGCTTCAGTTCAGTGTTATGTACTAGAACAGATTCAGTTCACTTTGCAATGCAATTTCAGCTTCAGTTCAGTTCAGTTCAGTGCTGGTTATTCACTTTGCAATGCAATTTGAAGAAACTAGAAACAGCAAATCAGAAGGAAATTATGGATCTGCAAAGGTAGACCTGGAAACTGCACCAGAAACTTGGGAATTTTCTCAAACCAACTTTGATCACACGCATTCCGATACAAAGACACATCAAATTCATAAGAGGGTGAAACAATAAAACAAGATGAAACTTTCCAAAAACAAAAGCAAGTCTCCATTTTTCAAACTTGTTGATAAGTACATATAGGGGCATACTTTTAACACTTCACGATTACAATGAGCTTCGTACACTATCACAATTACAATCAACATTATTTCAAGTAGTAACATAGGCGGTACCATTTTATGGAGCTCTTTCCGTTTGTTTCCCGTTCTTTTCAGTATCTCCTTTTTGTTTGCAGATAGTAATATTGAGAGAGATCTCGATGTCCTTTTTTCTACGGATACTTTAGCACCATTCTTCAACATACAAGACAAATCTTCAAGTTCAAATGTCCTTGATCCAACAATAGATTCACCCTCAAATTGCACATTTTTTAGTTCGTTGGGCATATCACCGCTCCACTTGATATTTTAGCAACATTCTTTTCAACGTCCATCCATTTCACAAACACTATTGTTGCCACGAATATTGCATCTATAGAACAACAAAAGTTCTAATAATCTCATTATTTTTTATCATGATGAACGCTCGGGAAAGCATCCAGCTTCTGAAATGCTTCAGAGCTCTTTATAACTAAAGTACTAAACAGTGACCAAAAAAATTAAAGTACGCAACACAATAATCAAATTTCGCAAAATTCGGAAAAGATAACATCAAGATCATCAAGCAAAACCTCTTTCAAAAATTAGTAAATTACAAGATGACTTAATGCTATTTTGAAGTTGATTTTGTTATGACTCTGCCACTGGCATTGCCACGTGGCCGACCCACTGTAGTTGTGGACCCACTCATGTCGAAGCATCAGCTATAGAAGACGAGGTCCTGGGCAAATTCCAAGACCCGTTACTCATTCTGAGGTTGGCATGCTGAAGCGGATCAAGTCCGGGGCTCTACCCCAGGTAGGGACGGCCCACGTGCAAAGGTCTTGAATTTATTGTGAAATGATTGGTGTAACCTTTGTAAAAGTATATGTGTCTTGTCTTGTTAATATGATGTAAAAGCATTAAATGCATTGTAAGTTAGGAATGTCAAAAGAATGGCTAGGATTATATGTTTCGATTGTGGAGATGAGGTCACGTGTAATTTCATTCAAGGCTCACAATTCCATTTGTAACACTATAAATGCCCCCTCCATTTAACCATTGAGGGATGATGCAACTCATAATACCAAAAAGCAACTTATTTTCTTCTTATGCACGGTGAATTACATGTTTTTACTTTGATTTCACGGCAGTTGGTTATTATTGCACAATCGTATCCTGTTTATTTTGTCGGAATCCAAACGAAAACGTCTCGTGTCGTTGACCTTCTCCCACGTCCAATTTAGGAGCGATCTCGATCGTTGATCTGTCGTTACATGTCGAAATTAGCTTGCGCAACACGAATAGGTCCGACATCTGTTGGAAACATATTTTGATGTCAACAGATTCATCATTCTCAAGGCAAAACAAATTCACAAAATGCAAAGATAGGCCATCTGATGTAGTAAACCTGGCAAATCCCTATAAATGAGAAAATTTTATATATTTCTAAGCAAATAAGAAGAAATGTATATGCGCCAGTGACCAAAACTTCTAAGATACCAAGCAAGAGAGAGGTGATTTGACGAAAGAGAACAATTTACGAAGATACCAAATTTCGAACAGTTGAAGAAGGACGTTCTATCCTCAAATTGGTTACTAAAACAGATGAAATTTATCTTCTATTGTACGACGTCATTCCCAACAAACAACAGATTACAGTCGACTTGTGGTTCCTTGCATCAGCAGGGACGGATGTAGGGGGATTGGGCTGGGCTGTAGCCTAGTCCAGTCCCCAGCCCACTGTATTTTCATGTGTAATTTTTTTTTAACTTATTAGCCCGATTTGTAATTCAATTCTGGATCCGTTCTTGCTTGCGTGCTTCTTGAAGTGATTGCAATCAATTTGGGGATGGAACTTCAATAATTGATTTGGGAGTTCTGGGTTTCAAGTTTAGGGTTTGGGTTTTAATTGGGAAAGACATATTTCATTTCCTCGGATATCTTAAAGGAGTGTTTGGCAATGAAGTGAAGCTAATTTGGCATTGCACTTACCATTTGGAAAGAGTTAACTGGCCACCTCATTTTCCCATCCGCCACATCAGCATGTTTTGAAATACCATCGATTTGGTTATTAATGGACACCAACGGAGTAAAGTTTAGACTAATAGGAAATTTTTGAAAGTTCAGTGAATAAGTCGTAAAATTTGTAAAATTCAGTGGCCAAATATTTAACTCTCAAAACACTGCTCTGCTCTTACGCACGTATTCCACTAAACGCCCAACAAAAAGAATAATTGTTCTTGCTTGCTCAATTTTCGAATTTATGTGAATTAATCAGTCACTTCCACAACATTTGAGTTAAGATCAGTTGTTTATATACAGTATCGTGATCGGCACGGTAATAATGGCGACGGTGCAGGCAGTGCTGGGGAACTTGACGGTAACGGAACGAGGTATTTTAACGGCCATCAACACCGGAGCATCCAGCCTCTCCTTCGTAGGCTCCGGATTCATAGTACTATGCTATTTACTCTTTAAGGAGCTTCGCAAGTTCTCCTTCAAGCTCGTTTTCTTCCTCGCCCTCTCAGTAAGTGTTTGAGCATTTCAATATTTATTTATTTATTTATTTCCAACTATGGAAATTTAATCAACGTTTTTAATATTGTAAGTAATTACTCGATCGACCGGGTAATCATGACAAAGGTTTTATCGTTGCGTCTGAGGGTTAAAATTGGTCTGATACCACGTTTGGAATTGTCTCAAATTAAATTAGGTAATGTAGCTCCAGCAAAAAATAAAATAAAAATGGAAGGTCTTAAGTTTGAAATTTGTTACGATTTGAAAAGGTAATTGATTAGGAGCAACGCGATTGGTTGGATTCTGTTTCTCAATTTCAATTCTAAAGCCTGGAGTCCTTGATGAATTGCGGCATTTGAAGCCTTCTCTCACTAATAAGGGATACATTGATTTTTGAAATTAACCTTGAAAACTCTTGTATTGGTCCTGGTCAACTCATCTTGATGCCGTGGCCTGTTTATAGTTTTTAGTTGCTGTCACATGAAATATTTCTTGATCATCCCTAATAGCATTAGCATCGAACACTTTTCTGCTCGATAGTCAGTTGGATGCATGTGTGATGTTTTTTTGTCTCAATTTTGAGGGACTGTATACATGTTTACCCAACTGCAGACTAACATCAGTTTCTTTTGGGAATCCCATTCTGATGTTTTTCTACTGTTGCAAATTCTCATAGGCATTTTCAGTTTTTCTCATCTGTTTCTCTTTCGCTATGTTCTTGAAAGACAAACTTCTTTGTTCATTTTTAAGGTATTGCTTTATTTTGGTGCAGGACATGTTTTGCAGTTTCTTCAGCATCATTGGGTATGAATGTAGCAGCCAAATACAATCAATTCTAATGTCATTTTTATGCAATAGGAAATTAAATTTCCTATATCTTTATTCTTCTTTTGTGCAGGGATCCATCGAAAGGATTCTTTTGTTATGCTCAGGGTTACACAACACACTTTTTCTGTGTTGCTTCTTTTCTATGGACTACAACAATTGCTTTTACTCTACACAGAACAGTTGTTAGACACAAAACTGACGTAGAGGATCTAGAGCCCATGTTTCATTTGTACGTTTGGGGTATGCTTTTTTATGTGATAACCAATTAGCTCATTTGAAATGTATACCTATTTTCTCTGTATGCTTTTGTGTATCTTTTCCTGTTTCCTCTAGGGTTCCTTTTTAGTGCTACGTTTGAAATTCTATGCTTTTATCTTTCTCTATCCCTGATTGGATGTTCAACTCCTCTTGCAGGTACTTCGGTTGTCGTGACAGTTATACGCTCTATTGGCAATGACCATGGGCATATACGTCGTTTAGGCACTTGGTGTTGGGCACAATCAGGACGTACAGGAAAGGCAAGTGTATAAAGTAATTTTATCACCAGTAATCTTTCTTAATATAAAGTTCTAAAGGCATATGCACAATTTCCTTGTTGCTTTTCTGGAAATCTAGACATTTGCTTAGATCTGTAGTCTATTTGATTTTACGTTATTGAATGCTGGTAAGTATTAAATAAGGATTATTAGACCTGTTTTCAAGGATGTTGGTGCTTTACACTTTATGCAGTCTATTGCAGATTTTTTGCATTCCATGTAAATGATCTTGCATATATCTTGAACAAATATACTTAAATTAATAATGAAGGCTGTAAGTTAACTATTTACACTCTGATATTTTTCTCCCTTAGCTTGCAATATTATGTATTTTGTGAGAGGGTGAGTCCTGTAAGGACTCTAGATCGTCATGAATGGGGAATTTATTCTTTCGTTTATTATTATAACATTATAGTTTACAGACAAGTTCTTTTTCTTTGGGTTTAGTTGAAACAAGATTTAGCCTTTTGCCTAAAGTGGCTTGTTTATGAGGAGAAGGATTATGGCCCGAGCTTTGACAGGCTTTTTGACTTTCATTCCTAACTTTACATTTCACTCAGATGATAGCACCTGAAAGGATGAAATAGATAATTTTATGATAAAAATCTCTGTTATCTTAACGAGTAGATTTAGAATGTAAAGGATATTTTAATACAACTCATGTAAGAAGATAGGGGAAAAATATTAATAGACAAGGAATATGTAGTGTGATATTAGTACAAAGTCTTATTCATAAGATTGGGAGCCATTAGAGCTCGAGTTTTTGACGTTGAATTATTTTTGGGCCTTCGTAATCTCATCTATATCGTCTTTATCTTGTTTTCATTCCTCTTCACTATTAAATTTGTTGGTAACTTATTTATTCCTGCAGGTGGTTCACTTCATAACATTTTATGCACCTCTCTGGGGGGCTATTCTTTTCAATGGCATCACCTATTTTCAAGTGATACGCATGTTAAACAATGCCACTCGTGTATGTAACTATCATCTAGATGTTTCACTTCCTTCTTGTGTTCCTGGAATAGGATTGGGTGCCTGAAACCCTTTTTTAAATGTTTGATGGATTGAACCCACATTGATGCGTGATTTGTTGTTCCAGATGTTAGCGGGAATGTCTGAGCGAGCATACCAATCAGATGCACGGCCAGATACGAAGGTTTTGAGTTCCGTTCTCAATATTTGTACATAATGTCTGAAAATTTAAAAACTTAGGATCATGATTATGCTTTTTGAAGAAAATTGACGCTGCAACCTGGTGTCACGTAGTGGTACATGCTTTTTATTGTGTCATGGCTTAATGTATCACCACAGTGTTCCTCTTTTGGTGAAGTTTTTTGAATGGGAGAATATTTTTGCATGCATCTTTACTTATCATGTGTCTCTCATCCATCTTCTATATGGTTTAGATTGGATTATGTGAATCCTTCTTTTGAGTAATGACACATATATAATTGTGTTTTTGTCTGTTATTGCATATTGACCCGTTTATGTCTAGCTTTTTGAAGTCTATCTCACCCCTCTTCTGTATGGTTTAGAAATTGTGTGAATCCTTCTTTTCAATAACGACATATTTATTATTTGTTGTCTATTATAGCTTTTCGACCTATTTACAAGTTTCTTATGATTTTTTGAAATTATACTTTCTCTGATCTTGCTGCCATTCACTTATGAAACCTAGTCATGGAATGATGTTGAGCACGTACACGAATAATTTTCGTTAGCAGATACTTATGTTTATTATTCAAGGTGCGTAATGTTCAGGAAATGTCAAATTAAGTTTTACATATAATCACCCTCTCCCTTAACAGGTGCTGAACCGATGGGGTTACTATCCCCTTATTCTTATCGGGTCTTGGTTTTTTGGTACAATAAACCGCATCCATGACTTTATTGAACCGGGTCACAAAATCTTTTGGCTTTCAGTGCTTGATGTTGGAATGGCTGCTCTCATGGTAATTCTGCAATCTCGATAAACTCATGCTTAGAGAAAAGAATTGTAATCTCTACTTATCTAACATGAGACTCAACTTCATGATTTCCATCAATCTTTTTCAGGGCCTCTTCAACTCCATAGCATATGGCCTGAACTCTTCAGTGCGAAGGGCAATTTATGAAAGATTGGATCTGTAAGTAACAAGCCCAGTTTTGGTTGTCTATTTGTTGGCCACATTTTCATCAATAACAACTTTTCGAACCACTTGGAAAAGCAAAGGACCCCTTGCCCCTCTCTTCCAATTATCACACGTGAACAAAGTTAGCCCCGTTTGACAACCATTATTTGGGGAAAACAATGTTTTGAATAGTGATTTTTAGGAGAGTGTGATTAAAAGTATGGAAAAATTTTGGATTTACGTGCAAAATATTTTATTATGTGAATGTGTTTGAAAATGAGTATGTATAAAAAATAGTTTTCAAATAATGGTTGCCAAACTTTCAATTAGTAACAAAGAGTTTTCTTTTGGATGGCACAACTCGATATTTCATTAAATTGAACCAAGTTCTCTTAATGTTGTTCATATTATTGTTAGTATTTATTGCTTGTTAATTACTATCAGTTGGTTTAACAATTTATTTTGTTTCAAAGTTGACGGTTGCCACGTGTTATCCTGTCAGGTTACCAGAAAGCTGCCACAGATGGTTCCCAAAGAGTTTGAAACCTAAAAGCCAACGGCAGGAGAGTGAACTAGTCCCGTTGACAATTGAGGATCAGCGATAGCAGTGAACGTGGAGAGTTCTGTGTTTGCTGAACAGAACTGACAGGAAAACGAAGAGAGGAACACGTTCTAGTTCCTTCTTATCAAGTTGTTTTATTTTTTGCCTCGGCAGAGGAATTCCAATCCATTTCAGTTTATGGATCTGAGAAGGTTTGCTAAAGGGAGCTGTAGAACATTAGTAGTATTCATGGAAGCAATGTAAAGCATGTTAACTTTTGGCTTTGGATTGTGTCTGAAACAACTGATTATTCTTTCATGATTCAACTCATGCTTAACTGGAAATCAGCTGTTATTCGTGTAACTACATTTTCTTTTACTGGCTTTATCTACAGATTCTGTTAAATTTTACAAAATCTATGCAAAAATGTATTTGTTGATTTGCTGAATGAAACCTTGTGAACTACCTAACAATTCTTAGAATCTTACCAGGGATTTCCTAGAGTGAATCTTGTGAACAAAATCGAATATTTTCAAATTGTTTCAATTAAGATGCTTAAAAACAGGTAGTGTCCGGTGTCAGACCCAATCTTCTTTGCCAGCCCAATTTCCTGTCTCTTCCCCAGTGAGAAAACAAAAACTGCCCATTCCCAGTAGGTAAAAAGATGAGAATTTCAGTAAAGAATCTTCTATCGCTGAAATAGCTATGAACAAACAATCAAGAAAATATACCACATCCCAAAGAAGATAGAATTAAGATCCAGTCAAACTAATGCGAAATTAAGTAATATTCATTTCAGTAGACATTACATACGATCAACAGATTCAAGATCGGAAATGAAAAACATTCAAAGACTCAAGAACAAGCACACGAATTGTCTACCACCACCACCACATCTTCATCGCCGCACCTGAAAACCAAGTACCCAATTGCAAGCCCCACCACCACAGCTATAAACACTCCGGCATTAAAAGACATGATCGCCAGCATCAGAAGGTACCCTATCGCAGAGTCAACTCCAAATAAAATCGCTCCGGCAAATCTTGATGCCCATTTGCCACCTCTGCTGGTGAACTTAGAGAAGAGTAAAGGGCTGTTGAGATCAGCCGACCCACTGGGCGATTTTTGGGTTTTCGCGGAAAGAAGCTTGAAGCGGAGGCGGCGATCCTCCATGTACTGGTAGAAAACGGAAACGAGGAAGCACGCAAGAAGAGAAAGGAGATAGCTGGTCCACGAATCGGTTTTCCATGAATCAAACAAAATTGTAACCTTTTTGCCCCAGTAGAAGGTCATATGCATCATCTTCCCAAAACTTTATCAGGAATTCCAAATGAGAATTGTTCAGTTGTTTGGTTTTGCGAGCGTTTCTCGTTTGGCAACTGGCAAGAGGATAAATTAACAACAACACGCAATAGTATTGTACCTTAGAACATTTGGACGGTTGGGATTGGTCGATTACGCGCAATGATTTGTACTACTATTCTTTTTCGTATGCAGCTGCCAACAATGTTATCCAATACCGAGAAAAACCTCAAAAGTCCAAACATCATTCTCAATGGATTTTTAAAGCATCAGATGGTCTCTGTTCAAGAGTCTATCTTTAAAATTAGAATAATGCATTGGGGATGAAAATACAGTCTACGTGACGTTAATGTGACATTAAATGATAGGTGAAATTAAATATTCACATTTCATTTAACATATTATTTAAAGCCACATAGACAGTATTTTCATCCCCACTGGGGATGAATAACATTATTCTTAAAATTATGTTCCAAAAAACTCTTCAAAATAAAATTTTTAAATACTCTCTATAATTAAATGTATTCAAAGTATTTCATTTTTTAATGAAGAAAGATAATGTAATAATTTGGAGAGAAATTAGTGAAAAAAAAACAATAAATATTTTTGGGAGTAATAAAATTCTTATTTGATCCCCATTATTTTTAAAATATATTTTTTTCTCTCTTCTTTTAACAACATGTTCTTCAATCAAATAATATTAAACGTAAATTCAAAAAAATTTCTTATTTTTTAATCACACATTTTTCATTCGTCTACTATTTCAAAATGTATTCTTACAACAAAATAAGGTTCAAACAGAAGTGTCAAACATAAAAAACTTATTGGAGTACTTAAAAATTCTCTTAAAATTTATGGATACTTTTTAAATGGTAAAATATGTTTTTTTAAAAGAGAGAGTATCTTGAAAATGCTCAAAGAGTTTGTTTGAACTCCACATTTTGATAGATTAAATTGTGTAATAGTGTTGTTTGTTTTGTTTGAACGTATAGTTAAAAAAATAGGGGAAATTTTTTTAATTTATATGTAAAATTATTTTATTATGAAAGTATGTGATTGAATATGTATTTGAGAAAGAAATGAATTTTTAAAGAAAGACTCAAACATGGACTTAGTAAGAAAAAATTAATTAATACTAATATATATTTTTTGGCTGAGGAAATCATAATTTTCATTGTATTCTCGACTTTGAAATGACATTATGTTTGATCCGCAACGAACTTAACATCTTCAGTATGAAGTTCATAAAGTTTCAACATCAACAAGTGCTCGAACTGTGATATATTGTCTTGTAATTTATTGAAATTACGACAATGTTACCGATTGACGTTGTCACCTCTTGAACCTACCTTTTCTAACCAAATGGACTCCAAATGTCTTCTACCTTGATGAGAAAGCTTCCTAACTTCTGAGATAAACATTCTATAAAGCGACGTCTCAATACTCAATTACTAAGACCTTCTTCTCAATATGCGAACTTGTGTCATTAAGGTCAACTAGTAACCTCATGTCAAGACAACTTCTCTCGATCATGGACATTGACATCATGCTAAGTTAGGAGTCGCAACAAGTTGACCTTAATGTATTTAACATTGTATACCGTAAATAAATAAAACTATTTCATTTAAACTATTATCAGCCAATGAATATCAGGGATGAAAGAAAGTATATATAAAATTTATAATAGAGATTTGGTTGATTTCAAGTGAAATGCCATTTCCCATGTCACAAGTATACATACATTTGCATATTCAATTATTAGCTCTTATTTACAACACATAAAAAATTGACACATGGGGCCAAAAGAAAAAACATTAAAACCCTCTAATTCCTAATAAAAAAGATATCATCTTTTTGTGTGGATGTACGGTTTCTTTCAACATGGAGCTCCACAGAGGTATCTTTGTGGTAACCCAGATATTATTTTAATACTTTTCTCGTCTTTAACTTTAACTTTAACTTGAACTTTAATTTAATATAATTTATTTAGGTCAGTTTTTAAGATATCTTGTGAGTTTAGCTTTATTGTTTGGGTTTTGAGGCTAATTTTAGAGAATTTCACAAGGTTAATTTTGGGTTACTGTAAATGTATAATTCCTTATGCTGGGGGTTTAGCTTGAGCAAATTTTCGGTACTAATTAGAATTAATGTTTCTGTTCTGTTGAATAAATGATAAGCCATTGAAATTGTTGGCGGTAGATTTGTCATTACTTTTTGTTTTAAAATTGTGGGTTTTCTTTATTGTAAATGATTTTGCCACTTGTACATAAAAAAATGTATATAATGAATTACATAATATGATGTGTAAGAAAAATTGGATGAAAAAGTTAATTGTGTTTTAAACTGGCAGATGGTAGAATACCATGCGTCGTTACGTAATTGATTATGTAAATATTGATGTACACGTAGCATGATCCTACTGTAAATGGGGGTGGTCTTATTTTGCTTTTGTTATTGTGATAGTAGTGGTTGTTAATTATGCATAATTTGCTGCTTCAAGTACTTGATTTCTAGTGTATCTCCAATGCATCAATGTGCATTGTTGTACATGTGGCAAGGAAAATGGGGATGGAGAGCATATCTCCGATGGGGCTGTGAACAAGAGGGATGTAGAGAAGAGTAAAGAGAAAGTATAAAAATTAAACTGACACATCCTCCCATGAAAATAAATTATAAAAAATTCAATTGGAGGTGTGCTACACCTCCTCCACCTTTTTCCTAGCCACATAAGCATTTCAGGGTGATGTGCACACTAAAGCTGGTGCAATCCAAAGCCACGTTGGAGATGCTCTTATATTATACTACCAAAGGGGAAATTGTAACTTCTTAGTAACTTCTCTTACAGTCTCAATTCTCAAACTAAATTATGCTGGATGTTGCAATTTAGAGCAATATGGTTGTGTGGATTCAAGTAGTTTTTACTTTAATCTGAAATTGTGTTCCTTATCAATTGAAATATAATACAATGTTAATGACACACACGTTAAAACCTCATCTGTGTATTATGTAGTGTGATTATATACTACGTACTTTAAGATCATCAAATTTGCAAATTATTGAGCTTTTTTGTTTTAACATCTTAATCCAGACTAGTTCTGCAGAATTTATATGGTCTCAGAAGGTTGAAAATTTCAATTTGGATAACTTGGCATCTTGAATAGCCTTCTGGATTTCTGACTTCGGAATTATTCATTTCTCTACAGGGTTTGGTTGATGCTCACCCAATATCACGACTTCTATTGTTTATGCTAAAGATTTTATTCTGTGTATAGACCCATTTTCCTTTACCCATCTGAAAACTTGCAGAAGAAAAAATAATGAACTTGTTTGGAATGGGGTATTCAACTGCTGAAAAAAATCTGAGTACTGCAAAAGCAACAAGTTTGAATCCAAATGCAGCAGAATTTGTTCCTTTTGCTCTCAGGTCTGCTGCAGGCATAAGCAGTACAGATGCATTGTCAAAGTTTTCTACCTCTACCACTGCAACACCGGGAAAAGCTGTCTTACATAAATCCAAGTATTCTGTTTCAAATAACTCAGATGAAGAGGCCCACCTATACTGGCACCACCAGCTCCCTGATGACATTACTCCCGACTTTAAATTTATGGGAGATGATACTCAATGTGTCGACAGCCTATCATTTTTAGGCTTATCCTTAACTGATGCTAGTGAAAGCTTGAGAGACTCAGCAGGCAGTGACTTTATGTTGAAGGAATGGCAGGAATTATGTCCTCGATCTGTTAATGGTAACAGCCATACTGCAAAGGTGAGGCATCCTTTATCATCATACAGGAAATATCCATCACCTACAGGTTTGCAGCATTCATTTACCGAACCTCGGAACAAGAAAATTGTCGGCAATGACGAGTTCCTTGCCAGTATTAGAAAGGGGACTCCTGATGGTGGAAATTTGAGACACAGTTTCCTGGCTGACATGCCAAATGAGCAGTTATTAATGGACAGTACAGAAGCAAAGTCTCTCGACTTTCTGGCTTCACAATTCCCTGGTTTAACTGCTGAAAGCCTTGCTGAGGTATATTTTGCCAATAGTGGGGATTTGAACCTTACAATCGAGTTTCTTACTCGGCTTGAGGTAGCCTCTATATCCTCAGCTTTGAAATGATAGGGTAGCTTTTGATCTTTTATAGATGTAAAGTTTGGTTACAACATCGGAAAATTCTAAAATGAGGTTGACCTATATTATTTCACTAATGTTATTGTCACCCAATATTCAACTAGTTTCTTCTTTCTAGTTGTCATATTTATGTTCTAACTTCCAACAGTAAGTCTTATTTGTCTATTCTACTCTGATATTATTGATGTAACTACAAGATTTCTGTAATTAGATCAGTTCTTATCTTAGGAAAGCCATATCTTTGATAGATTTCTGATATTATCTTTTGGTCTTATGTTCGACTTCCGGAACCTTTGAACGTGTTGAAGTTGGCAACAATTTATTTGGTTTGCTTGTACTGTTTCCAAACTCGTCCACTTAAACTCTGTTGGTCTCTTCTTTTCTTTTCTCCTCTAATGTTGAATGTACCTTAATTGCCCGACTTATTGTACCATAATGTGCTGTTTGTGGGATAGATTCATTTCTAATATATATGTTTTATCTTTTTCGTTATTGGTATTGACAAATCTTAATTGGATACATTTTATAAGCGCACATTAATTTTTATACCTTATTCTCTGGCAGAATTACCGACTTTTTAAGAGTTTAAGCTCTTCCATTTGTAATTAGTTTCCCAGATCTGTTATCAGATATTTGACTTCAATTCTTAGACATAACTGATCTCCTATGCAACTCTCATGGTCAATCTACTTGTGAACGCAGCTTCAGGTCAATGGAGGCTTAAAGCAGAATCAGAATTTGAAGCCCTTATCATTGCCAAGTCTTACTGCATTTGATTTACCTGCAATTTCTTTGACAGACAGTCAATATAGCCTTCCAAAATTTTCCCGTGATGACCTACAGCAAAACATTAGTCCCTACAGGATATCAGAAAAAGAAAGGACCGGCTTGTTCAGGTCCAGTTCTTCCATTCCCTCTGGAGGCGATGCAGATTTTGCTTTAACGTTTAGGAAAATGACATCTCAAGATTCTCTCATTGGGAAGTTTGATCTGAATGGCTCTTCAGGCTCAAGCATTGGATCAGGTAGAAGTTCACAAGTCCCAACAGGCTTTTACAATAGTGGCCAGGGCAAGGGGGTTTATATTGATAACTTGCAAAATCGGGGATCAGCTCACACAACTCCTGTCTGGCTTGAAACTGGAGAGGCTGTCGGTAATTTTTTTTAGGCAATAAATTTGACTTGCTCTGTAAAACTTTGATTGGGGAACAGATGCTTTCTGCATGTGTATATGCTTTTAACTTTGTTGAGATTGCAGCAAATACGTATTCTGAAATGCGGAAGGAAGCTCGTGATCGTGCACGCTTGCATAACTCATACTTTGAGCAGGTATGCCCTATTAGTATTTATGAAAGGGGAAAAGTAAAAGAAATGAAAAATAAAGTTCAAGTATATACTGCCTTCTGGCTCCAGTAAAGAACTGTTTCCACTACCCTGCAGTATATACTAAGTGGAATATTCATTGGGCTTAAATGACTTTGCAGTGAGCTGGGCTTGTCAATACTACATCCACTCTGTTAGATATATTTTATGTGGAGAGAGGATGGATTGAACCTAGTTATTTGTTCAAAAGCTCTCTCTCTCTCTCTCTCTCACACACACGCACGCGCGCATGATCACATTCGTGTATACACATGGGCAAATTGGCTTGCAGAAATTACTTTTTACTATGTACATTTTCATGAACTGCAACATTCTGATTGTATATTTGATCTAAATCCTCTGAATTACTCTTTGAGAGATTAGGCAAGTCAGGCATACCTTATTGGTAACAAGGCTTTAGCGAAGGAGTTGAGTGTCAAAGGACAGTTGCATAACATGCAGAGGAAGGCAGCTTATGGGAAGGCTCAGGAATCAATTTATAATCAGAGGTTCGTGGACCCATGCTTGTTCGAAATTTTGTGTGTGTGTGTGTGTGTGTGTGTGTGTGTGTGTGAGAGAGAGAGAGAGAGAGGTTCCTCTATTTTTCTGATTAATAATGTAACCTTTTGACTTGACACTTTTTTGGCTATCATCATTCTTATTTACATTTTAGTGGCCTTCGGATTTGTTTGCAGTCCTCTGTGTTAGACGTCTCATCATGCATGTTCAATTATTCTCCAGGAATCCGGAGGCGCAGGGCAATGGGAGAGAGAGAATGATTGACCTGCATGGTCTACATGGGAGAGAAGCTATTCGTTTCCTCGAACATGAGTTGGCTGTGATGAGAATTGCGGCTAGGTCTGAAGATCAATGCTTGCTGGTTTATATATGTGTTGGGACAGACCACCACACCAGGGGTCCACATACTCCTGTTGGACTCCCAACTGCCATTCAGCACTACCTGCTAAACGAGGAGGGCCTTGAATTCTCTGAACCGGAGCCGGGGCTCCTTCGAGTTTTGATATACTGAATCAGGTCGGGTATAGGAGTTTTTTGATTCACAGGTTCACCCACGAAATCAATCAATTGTCAGAAAAAAAAAAGCAAAGAATGAATTGTTGTACTTGTAAATGGGAAGAGAATGGAGTAGGACAAGTCTGCAGAAGAAAAAGAAGAGATGAGTTGAAAGAGCAAAACACACACAAAAAAAAAAAGAAAAATGATGCTGGAAAGGTAAAGCCGAAGTTAGAATATGTTTTGTTACTGTGTAGTTAGTTGGCGAATGGCAAATATACAATTTTGTAGTTGTAACAATTTGCATCAGCTTCGTTTTTGTTTCTTGTTTCACAGTTTTTGTATATGCAGATGTAACTGATATCTGAAAATCCATCGAGGGTTTGGAAGTCTCGTCAAGACTAGTGCCAGGGACCTTGTAGTTTACATTTTCAAGATTATTTGATATATCTACAGTGTTGTAACACATGGGATTGAAGAGCAATTATTTAGCTTCCATGAGAAAATTTAGCAGTGTTATTTACTGTGAATAGTAAAAGCTTGGAAGAAAAATAAACCCGATAATGGAAACGGAAGGAAAAATAAACGAAGAGTTTATGCAGTTGAACATAAGCCTACATCTGGGGCAAGATTCACCGGAGAGCTTCTTATTTTATAAGGTTTTCTGCAGAAAACCTGGCTCTTAGTTGCTGTGTTTTAACCCAAAAATACCCATATTTTTATCTTTCAATTCAATCAAAATTCTACTAGAATTCATATACAAAACATCTTGATTTCTTCCTCTGTTGATCTGACTGGCATAATCCCATCGTCATTTGTGTTGCCTGTCTTCACTTTACTAATAATAAATTGTCTTTAATTTGTTGACCAAGTATTGTTTTATGGAGTTTCGTGTACAAGGCAATGAAACATCCAGGAAGTTACAACAATTTCCAATCAAAATAAATTCTTTACTTTTCTAAGTTTCAAGTGGGTACATTAGACATCAAATATTTCGTTGAATTCTATATGGTTTTTCATAAATAAGTATATCACGTAATCATCTCGCGGAGTAAAATATGAATACGCTTTATTCCATTAATTTCGAAGTACGGGACCCACTAAAATTAGAGTTTAACTCATTTCACATTATTTAAACCGTTTCCAATACTAATATCAACGTTTTCCCGTCCACTTCGGCTAGTTCGGGATAAAATTTGTGGACTTGGTCGAATTTACCCGTCACATATTGCAGCATTTCCTGAAGTTCTTTATGGGACAATTGAAGAAGTCCATTTAAGTTTCAATTTCCCAAATATAATTCTTATCATGTGTTTGGGGTTCAAGGGCTACATACAAAAATGAAGAAGATCAAAAAAGAACCACGTGATATTCACTAGCAAAAAGCAAAAAATGATGAACAAATTTGTCCTCATCTCTCATTGTTTTTTGGTTCATATTTTGCCACGCTCCAAATCTTAAAATATTAGTATGAATCACACTGTTTATAACCCGATTGTAGGAGATAGACCAGACAGTAGTACACGATCTGACAATGGGAAGTTGTGACAAGAAACTTGAAGAATGCCTCTACCAAGAGTGGATGAGCCTTCGAGAGCAAGAACTTTCTGAACTCAACCATGCCATAAAATTAAGGGAACAAGCCCAGCAAAATGATGCAGAAATGAGACGACTCGTAGACAAACTCATGCAACACTTCGAAGATTATGTGGAGAAACGAAGGTATCTCGCTCACAAAGATGTCTCGGCCTTCTTTTCGCCTACTTGGTGTACGACATTTGCGAACTCTGTATGTCGGGTTGCTGGCTGCAGGCCATCATCGTATTTCAGCCTCGTTTATGCACTTTGTGGATCTGAAATAGTCTCCAAGAGTTTCTTCAAGATTCTGTTAAATGTGTTATTATGTTTGGTATGCTCGACTAGATAGAAAATTCATAGTTGAAACATGCTATTTTGACATATACAATTAATACGCAATTACTTGGTTATATTTCCAGGAGTAGGAGATGCCAAGACTAGTGGCTTCTCTCTTCTCTCGGCATTTCAACTTTCTTCACTTGACAATCTACAAAGAAGGACCATTGGAGAGGAAGAAAAACTATCAACTCAGATGGCTACACTGCCATTAGCACTAATAGCGCAGAAATCAGGTCCAAAACACGAGTCTTGTCCCATTGTAAGAGATGCATTGAAGAAGATCAATCAAGCCATGGTTTCTTCTATGGAAGAAGCTGATATATTGAGACAAAACACGGTCAAGGAAATAATTAGCATACTTAAACCCATGCAAGCTTTGGATTTCATGGCTTCGGCTAAGAAACTTCGTCAAGCACGGGGTAAAGAGAGTGACAACGACCATGGTCGACACTAGGAATGAAAGATGTACATGGAAGTCTTGTAATGGTGTTTTGTTATGCTGTATGATCGAATTTGACTCGGATTTTGCTATTTATAATCAAGTATTTCTCCCTTATAGTTTAGAGGGGAAAACTGAAACAGAATTCAAATTGTTGAGGATGAAGGAATTGGAGAAGGGGTGAAAATCTTACAATTCAAGCAGCTTGAATTCTGTTTCAATTCTCCGTCTTCTATGTTTTTTAAGGAATAATTCGAGGTAATATTCTTTGTTTTGTTTTATTCTGGTCAAAGGTTTACCGCATGTTGTTTTTCAATTTTCAAAACCAACCAGAAAAAGGCCAAAAAAAAACTCCCATTTGCTCAAAAAACGTGTCTTTCACGGACTGAATGCAAGTAAGATCAATTAGAGGGTCATTTTTTTTTATCTAATTATTCAAATTTGACTGGTCAAGTTGAATCCATTATGGCCATGTTTTGAAGCTTGTAACTCAAATCTTCATGCTATATATTTAGAAGTAATATTGGAGCAACAAGTAAAACAATTGACTAAGATAACCATGTCAGGAAGTTGCCTTTCTACCATTGCAAATGCAGTGAACTTCAACAAGAATATGATAGCCGTCACTCTGTTAATTGCCTCCTCCTCTCTTGTGTTCATCCAGTGTTGTGGGAAAATGAGGGCATTATTACGTTCGCTAGCTGGTACAGTTTTCAAGTATCGGGATCAAGCAATGGCAGAAAAGCTCGAGGAAGAAGATGACCTTGAACTTGATTGTGTTGTATGCCTGAACCGAGTCTCTCCGGGTGAAAAATACAAGATCCTTCCAACATGCAAGCATGGATTTCATGTTGATTGTATTGATGCATGGCTGCAGAGGCATTCTACTTGTCCCCTTTGTAGGTGTCCAATTCCTCGAACTACCATCCAGTACTATTCCATTAGTACTCAAGATCAGGATTTTGACGCTTTGATTTCTTATCTTCTTCGTTTGCTGGATCACATTCGAACATGGCTGATGGACCCGCTCAACACTTTGAGCGAGGAGTGTCTTCATTTCCCTTGAAGATAATGATGACAAAGACACAATTTTTGGTGAAAGAAGTAGAAAATTGATAGAAATGAGAAGGAAAGGAAAAAAGTAGCATTCATTCTTGTTTTTTTTTTTTCAATGTTTCGTTTTCTTCATTAGAACTCCAAATGCAAATTCCACTGTATGTGATACCTTTCTACAAAAAAGGCTACATACGAAGTTACTCCACTGTATCTAGCTCACAATTCCCTTTCTGATACATTTAAGAAGTCACTCAAATACAATCGTGATTGATGTTTCTAAAAAGTAAATCTCAGCAACTGATATACCAGGAGTAATAAACACGGAACAATTAAATTGTGAACAACTATCATTTCAGCTTAGATTTTGAAGAGCTGAGCATAGGCTTTGCAACGGGGCGAGCAGCAGCACTTCTCACTGCCTTCTTCACATCATATTTGACAGATAAGAGAGAACAAACCAGTGCTATTAACATAGTTGGGTAGACAAATACTGCGTTTGTTGGATCTGTGCTTGCTGGCTTTTTTAGAATCCCTTCCTTGACAAGGCCCCATATGACTAGAAGAGTTCCAAACATGCTCATCCTCCCGGGTTTTAAGAGGCCAATTAGTGCACCAGCCACTGAGAAGTAACTTCCAGCAAGAACCTGGTGAAAGTTTTTGACATTATATTCGAAACTAGATGAAGGGAAGACAACAGAGAAACAACAGCATATAAATTTTTCAATGAAGTTTTAAAGTCTGCAGCTAAATTGGGTATGGAAACGTGCTTTACAGTAATTGAGATGACAGCAAATAAGGAATAGCTGCTCTATCACATGAAATGTATTCATTCAGTAGTTCTGAAAATCTTTAGTGTCCTGATAACAATGACTGATATTTGTTTAAACACGATAGTTAAAGAACTCAATATTTTCTAACCAATATAAGATAAAGGTGCAAAAGGAAGGGTAAAAAGATGCTTTAGAGGTATTGTCCTTTGGTAAATATAGTGGAAAGTGTGAAAAGAGGAAAGTAAACAGATTGCAAACTATCACCAAATGTTAAAAGAACCCATCTACCTGCCTTCTATGAATTTCTCTCTCTAGTAGTAACTTTATATGACGAAACTAAGTCCAAATCAACCAACAGAACTAAAAATTTATTAAAAAACTCAAAAATTGAGACTGCCTGGAAAAGAAAATTGTGGAAATAGTCAGGTATGCAACACGTATTAGTTGGTGAAAAACTATAATCTACACACTGAAACAGTCATACAACAGCTAACTTAAATGTTTATGCTAGCTAATTTATCCATGGCAAAAAAGAAAGGTAGGGAACGCGTATTCATGGGTTGTTGTTGGACAACAACTATGGTCTATTAGAATTAAAAGAGACATACAACAGCCTGCTTAAATGTTTTAGATAACTCATGTATTCATGGAAATAGAGAGGTATATTTATTGTTGGAAAACAATTATGGTCTATAGAATTATAATAGATGTACAATAGCCAGCTTAAATGTTTTTTCAACTAATGTACCGCCAAAGCAATGTATCGGCCATACATGAGTTCACAGTAAAGAGTTTATGTAAATTTAAACTAGCACAACTTCTTTTTTTTTTTTTGGGATGGAGGAAGGGGTGCAGATGAGAAGCCAAACCTCCAATCGCTGTAGGTCAGTTACTGCAGAGGCTTCCTTTATGCCAGTTAAATTATAGATGCTCAGCAGATTTTCCCAACTTGGAATAGTCATATTACGGATGAGACCATTGACAATGGCTCCTGGATAGAGAAGGCCCTTCACCACCGGAACAGGAACGATTTCGCTGGCAATCAACTGGGAAGATGTAACCTGCAATGGAGTTGTGCACATGCCAGATCTACAGGGAACCCTGAGAAAATAAATAAGTTGAACATAGGAAATCAGTGATAAAATAACAGGCCAGAACATATCATGGATTATAAAGTTTTATTTCCTAAATGTCCTCTTGCCCCAAGATGATGCACAAAAATGTTCCATCACTGTAGCACTTACAGGAGACAGAAACAAATGCCGAAGAAGGGAGATACAACTGCATGTTTGCATCAAACAATGGTGCCTTTTGTGTTAAAACTCAACTCAACAAAGCCCTAATCTCATATCCTCTTTTTCCACTTCACTCTACCAAGTATCAAGAGCAATCTCCTCAAGTTAAATTACAAAGGTTTATTATTTAAAAATTGGATCTTCCTCGAGTTTTGTCATTAATACTAGCTCTATACTTCTCTCTAACCAGTGCATCCAGCAAAATGATGCCTTTCAATATTAAAAATGTAAAAGGAAACGCATTTTTTTGGCATATAGTCACTGAGAAAATAAGCCGTTAATTCAGCAGTCGAGTAAGCCACTTTGCAAGGAGAGAAAAGGTCAGTAGCAGCAGCAACTAGCTTCAGTACATCAAGCACCCTGTATTTGCAGTGATAGACATCAACCTTCCTAGCACGTTTAATATTGACTTAATTGGAAATTTTATGCATATGACCATGAAAATATGAGTAAACAAAAAACCTAGAACAATGCTAAATGTACACTAAAAGTTTGACATTGTTTTTGACACTCGATTGTTTTCAAAAAAATGTTGGCAGGAAATCGTGTGTTTTTTTAAAACTATCCAATCTGATGTCGCCACGTGGCATGATGTAAAAAAGAGTGTACATGTAGCATGATTGAAAAAACTAATAATCCTGGATTAAAGCGCATTCCTGTTTACAACAATCAACTGATAGTATCCAAAAGATTGTTTTCTAGAAAATAGTATATATCATATTTTTACTTCTCAACTGCATTCAGTTCTTCAATCGATGGTTGCGATAAAAAAGATTGGAAAAATCAAATTGAAAGTGCATTTTATAATGCGAACATTTGCTTCTTCTCATCATTATAGTGATTTATTACAAAGTAATCTTAATTCAGATCTTTACCTTGGAAGAAGAAAACAAATTTTAAATAATATACTTCCACCCCAACTACAACACCAGAAGACAAGTTTGATCAACAGAGTATAAAATTCACGATTCATCAAACTTACATCAAGCACTTAAAAATCAGATGCAGAATTTAATATTAACAAAAACGATTAACCCAGATCTAAAAACACAATTTAAGCAATATTTTCTCCTAAATTAAGAGATATATAGTAAATCAGACTCCAAAGGTCAAATAAGGATCACTTAAAACTCCAGCCGAACAAGGACGGCCAGATGCTAGAGCACGATAAATCCGAGGTCCAAAAGAATCCCATGTAGATCTAAAAGCTTGGAAATAATAATTTACAGGTGACCGTGTATATTTGATATATATAGAGATGTAAATTGGATAACTACGGGGTTTGACCTGAAAAGAGGGACCTGAAGAATGATGAGGAAAAAGTATATGCGACATGCGTATTTTGATAAATTGCTCCATTTCCTCTTCGATGCCACCGCTTGTGTTTTTGTCGTAGAATCCGTCATTGAAGACTGCGAGAATCTTCTGTGAGAGAGAGGGCGGATAGAGGTGAAGCCAATTCAATCAAGAGCTCGAGCAAATTTGGAATTGGAGCGTGTTTGCCTGTTACTCCTGTAACTTATTTTGTCCAAGTTACTTTTTGACAAACAAAATTTTCAAGAGAAAAATATTTAGGCTCTGTTTGAGCCACCTTTTTGTAGAATGAGAATGAAAAATATAGCCGTTATTGGGGCCAATACAAGAGATAGAAAATTTGAATTTAAATGTTAATGTGATGAATAACGGTCATATTTTTCATTTTAATGAGATAAAAAGATAGTCCAAACGGGGGCTTCGCTAGGGATTTGATGAGCTAGTAAATACATCACCAATATGAATAATCAAGGTTATGGAGACAAGACTATCATTATTTTAGAAGAATAATGCTATATGTACATTATGGACACCATTATGTGTACCATAATGTACATGTAGCATAACCCATTTTAGAATATGTCGATTCGATAAAACGATAATCATTTTCAATGTACTTTGTTCGCTCTAGAAACACGTCGTTTGTGAATAATCTGAATAACACTTCGATTATCACATAAGAGAGATGTCACAAAGGAGTGTACAATTTCCATATCACGTTAGATCTTTAATCAAATAAGTTCAGAAGTAGTATATGCTAATGCTTAAGACTCCACTTCAATACTAGAATGAGTTGTGATTATTTGCTTTTTTACTTCGTCATGAAATAAGATAATCACCTTAGAAGAAATAATAGTCAATAGTGGATCAACTGTTAGTGGGATCACCGGTCCAATCAGTATCAAGTAAGCTTGTAACTTAAGAGATGAATGAGTAGAGAACTGAAATTTGTAAAATTGAGTTCATTTGATATGGTGTATAGTAAGTACAACATTAGTCCAAGTAAATGAAAAGAACTGACTAACCGCATGGATTGTATATGCTAAGTCCAAACGAGTGACTGTAATATAGACTAAGGGCCCGTTTTGTAGGCCCTATTTTTCATGGAAGTTGGAATTGAAATTCAATTTTCTACTCTGTCATGTTTGATGATACTTTTTTTTTTCCCCTAGAATTGGTTTTCCACATTTGCTAGTTTTCTTGATTTTAATTGAATTGAAANTAGAAAACACCATTGGTTGGATTTCACATTGTCAAGGGTAAAATTCATCCATCACCGAACATTTAGAAAGCATTTCAGTTCGGTCAAAAAAATAAACTTGTCTGAGTTTAATGACAAAATATCAATTTAATTTAAAATTTTCATTTAAAAAAAATTCAAACGAAAGTCAAAAATTTTCCAATTTTTTTTTTTTTTTTGGCAATCCAAACAAATTATATCCCTTTAATTGATGATTTTCATGAAAAACAAAGTCAAACGAACACCAAAATATAAAAAATTCAACATTTTCTATGTGAAAAATTATACAAATCAAACACAATTAATTTACAATTCTCAGTAAAAATAAATTTTAAGCAATTCAATTCCCAGGAATTCGTTTTCTTTCCACCAAAATTCCATCTTTGAATCAAACAGACCCTAAACCTCCAACAACTGTCAATAAGAGACTGGAATTTTCAAAAAGCACACCATCAGTGGGAGTGGGAGTAAACTTGACAATGGTCTCAATAGAAGTAGAAGTAATCTTGTCATATCTCAAATTTACTCTAGTTATCATATCCGAGGCATATTTAGCTTTCGACAATTATCATGTACTACTAGAAGATGCCTCTAATCACAAAAAATAGTTAAGTAAACCAATTTCTTTCATATGTTTTTGTAATTCAATGTAGTAGTATATCTTACTCCACTGGGTTTGAAAAAAGAGGAGATATTCTTTTTGAAAAGTTGTGGCCTAGCTGCAAGAATTCACCGTCGATTCTCCTTACCGCCTAAATAAAAGGCTAAAAGATTATTCGTCCCATTCGTTTCAACTCAAAAACTACAGGTATTTTTCGAAATTAAGCATTGACTTACTTTTTAAACTTCTTTGTTCGCCAAATGAGGGTCCAATACCCTTCCATCAAGATATAGGTTTAGATTACTCAGACAGACCCTCATCATACACGAGTCGATCCAAATAGATTAGTTATCCATTGCCATTATCTAATTTAAAATTGTCAAATAACGTATTTCCTCCATACTCGTGTTTCATGAGTAATAGTAATGAATATGTAGGATGTAAATAGAAAGGATACAAGAGACTAGATGTTGGCCAAGGCCAATGATTACATCACCATATGGTGGAGTGACCTCTCTATTACCCCGACAAGTAATGACGGAGAGTGAATGTTGTTTCATACGTACAAATCTCCTTTCTCGTCGCTCTTTCATTCTCTTTTTAAAGAATATATGAAATTCATTTGACGTTGATTTTAGTTTAAATAACACCTCAACACAAGTGAGCTTGTGGATAATGAAAATGGACAATTCTTTGAACGTTTAATGTGTGTGAATAGTATTTTTACATATAAGAAGTAGAGAGTATTGAAGATTATGTAGAGTACCTTTCATCACCGCATTTGTAGTGACGTGTAAATCAAACCTTTTGAAATTATACCTCACCTCGTCAATACTACTATTAGGAGTCAAATTCTCTACTTTTATGAACAACGTCAAAGAGTGGTAAGTCCATGCCTCCACCATACTTTATGTAAAGTTGACACGCGGTGCATCGAGTTGAAAATTGTAGTCGAGGAATCGCAACCACTACTAAGTGGAAAATAATGTTGTCCCGAAGAAAACAAAGACAATCCCAAAACATCCAAGGAGCATGCTTCAAGTATTAAGGTTCTAAAATGCATAATGTGTGATATTGAGTTTTAGCCGAGCATCAAGTATTACAAAAATATAAGTGCATATGCGAAACATATACGTAATTATGCATTTTCCAATTTTTAACGATATTTTAAATATTCTAAACTAATAAATAAATAAAATAACGCATTCTTTAAATTATACATATTCTTCAAATCTTAAAAATGTTCAAAATCATAAATAATACAATTACTTGAACTTTGTACATATTTTTCAAATTTTTAATAAAAACATAATGCTCAATATCATAAATATTACAATTACTTGATAATCAATTCCTACAATTAAATTAGACACGATCATTGGCTTAAAAAATCATAAATATTTTTTTAACTATATATTTGATTCCAATTCAATCTCTTCTTCACCCAAGTCATCATATGTGTCATTCGATATAAAATCATATTCATCGAGCTCCCTTATTTCAATCCGAGAATTTCTATTACATTTTGTAGATGATAGGATATTATTATTATTATTATTATTATTATTATTATTATTATTATTATTAACAACCTCATCATCATCATCACACCATGAACAATTTAACATTGTTCATTACTAGCACCACTTGCTAGTAAAACTAGAGAAAAATCGAAGAATAAGAGGGCTTGGCTTGGTGTACATAGTTTGCAACTCTACAAAAAATTTGTTATGATTTTTTTTTTTTTTAAATGTCAAAATCTAACAGATTGTTGTATATAATGCATGGGCTCTGGTGATTTGGGATAATTTGATATTTGTCGGGCTCAATTTGATTTTTTGTGAGTCATAAAAATGTGCTGGACTTTGTTGTGTTAATTTTGACACAATTTTTAACACAAACGTATGCACATTTTGACGTTTAAGCGTGCATATGCGATCAAAGAAATGAATTGACCGTATTATCACACGCATATCCTGTATAAGAGGTGTTTGGAAAACTATCGAGCATATGTGAATTATATGCACCCATTTAGAACACTGATATTATCTACGAAAGTTGGCTTCAATGTAAACTAGTGTTTGTGCCGTGAGTCCTCACTAACACTCTCAAATGGGTCTTGTTTAGACCATGTGGTAGCCAAGTGGACGACGATGACAAATTTTTTTAAACAATCACTAGTAGTTAACATTAGGTACAATTGATAAGATGGACAGATCCATTAGTAGAATAAAACGTCTTTTTTCTTCTTCCTAATCGTCAAATTTTTTATTGAAGTGGCCTTTTCTAAAACTAGTCCGAAGTTAAACTTACATTACACATTATTCTAAAATATTTATAAATATTGTATAAGTAATATTTGATATCAATTTAGTAGGAGGGTTTGACGAGTCTCAAACGAATTAAAGAAAATAAAATTTAAAATAGAATTTAAGATAATAAAATTGCACTCTCAAAACCCCCAACTTCTATAATTCAAATTTTTTGCGATAAGAAAATACAGCAAATGTGCAACCTTTTTATGTTATATTTAGTACATAAGAATTAATTGCTAATACATTAATTTAAACACGCATTAAAAATCCTAGATACATGAATAAAAATAAATTATCTATAATAACTCTAGATTTATGTAGATCAAGATTCATCAAATTAAGATTTATTAAATCTAGATTAATATGAATGTTAATTAATTAAAAATTAATAATACAAAATTCATACATAACAAGGATTTTATAGTACTTATTATCAGCATGTCTGGTTCAACTTAAAATCAGCAAAACTGGGCTTTTTTGACCGTTAGTTTTTAAAAAATGGGCCCACCTCTCACAAAGAAGTCAAATTGTGCGGCCATACGGTTGGAATTCTGATTAGTAGTGGCACCAGACAAAACCTATAAATTGAAAACGAAAAGTAAAATATTGTTGAAATAATTGAATTGTAGTAAAGTTAACATCGTCAAAAAAAAGATTCTCACTTGACGTGATATTTAATGTATTATTAATTTTCCATTTTCGAAATGAATTCCAAAAACAAAAAGCGGGGGGGAGGGGAGGTCAAGTGTGTAAAATGAAATCAGAATAAGTCATTTTTCCCATTATTTTCAAAATATGTTTTTCCCTCTCTTATTTATCACACATTTTTTAATAAAATAATATTACACACAAATTCAAAATATTTCCTTATTTTTTAACAACATAAAACTCCATCAAATCACTATTTTACAATGCATTTTTTACTGAGGTTCAAAC